CCGGGCGGTCAGCAAGGCCGTGTACGGAGACCAGAGCCTGCACCGGGAGCTGCGGGAGCGGACGGTGCACCACATCGCCGACCACCTCGACCACTTCGGGCCGCTGATCGAGGGCGACGCGGGCGAGTTCATCGTGGCCGCCGCCCAGGACGGGGCGTGGGCCGGCTACCCCGAGCTGCTGGCCATGGGGCAGATGCTGAACGTGAACGTCCGCGTAACCACCGGAGGGAGGCGGGAGAGCCCCACGGTGTCCACCATGAGCCACCACCTGGGCCCGGAGGATTCGGCGAGGCCCGGGATTTGGCTGAGCTGGCTCAGCACTGGACACTACGACGCGGTCTTCGATCGCTCCTACCCCAACCCGGAGTACGACAGCTGGTGCAAGCAAACGCAAGCTCAAAGAAGGCGAGACGAGGAGCTGGCCAAGTCCATGGCCGTCTCCCTCTCCAGGATGTACATCGAGCAGAGCGCCTGCTCCTGAGCGGTCTGCGGACCCTTCCCCCGCTGCGGAGATGGCGCGGGGACTTGGGTTTGCAGAATCCCGGGAACTCTGGTCGGGGGAGTGGCGCTTTGAAACTTCCTAGTGGATCCCTCCGTAGGTGTGATGATGCCTTAATCGTTTCCTTGAATGTTTTCTCAGAGCTGAGGGGTTGCCGGGCGCCTAAGTGACGTTTCCTGCTAGCTTTGGGTGATCCTACTGCTATGTACAATTTGCTGTATAAAACGAGCGCTCCTTAAATTGGCAGGCTTTCTCCCAGTGTGATAAATTTGTTCACTCCTGGTAGTCTATTTTCTATAAAAATGTATTTTTGCACATTTTTAAAAATTGGTGTACCTTCATCTACGATGTGTTCCATTTGACACAGCTTTCAAGCATAAATCCAGAGAAGCGCTTTCGATGAAATTTATCATTTGGAGCAGCTTTGTGATTTAGTAGTTATTTTGTGTTGCATTTGAATTTCACAGTTCTTAGATGATTTTTCAAGTGGATATTGATGTACTCCTATTATCAGGTGATTGGCCCATTCCATTTCGGTGAAACAGATTTGTTTTGGAAATTGTTACTTTTCTCAAAACGGACAGTCTTGAAATACTTAAGGGGCACGAGTGTGGGAAGACACAGTCTTTAAGGGGGTCTTTCTTGAATGAAACTCTGATACTTGCTGATGACAGAATGACGATTCTGTGTTCTGGTTGATGTTTAGAGTAGATTGTGTGGTGCGCTTGTTTTTTATTTACTTTTGTCATTTTGTTATGAAAGAATTTTAACATGCTGTAAAATCTTGTGACGAGAGATGTCTCCTGCTTTTTAAAATAGCTTCTTGAGTTCGACTAAGATTTAAAAACTGATAGCATAAATGCCTGGAACCATCCCTGGCGTTGTTTTTATAGCAGGAGAAGATCGTCGTAGTATTCTGTTCCTTTAAAATTCTTTGATAAGGCAAAGTAGGATTACCTCTATTGTGTAAAAATATCTGTAAACAGCTTGTATGGTTTGCTGGGTCAAACAGTATTTCCAATCTAAAAATCTATTTCATTTTCACTTTAACTACTTTTAGTCATATTTATTAAGTAATGAGTTTGTACTTTTTCATTTTGTAACATTTTGTGATTTTTTTTGTACAATACTGTATTTGTAAAATAGCAGTTCTCAGCTGATGGAATGAATAAAATGCACACTTTTATGACTGTCTTTGGATAGAGTGGTTTTTAAATTCTACCTGTAGGAACCATTCTTAAATGTGTACAAGTTTTTTTCACGTGCAAAATGCCACGGAATTATGAGCGGTCTCCTAAATTCTCACCTGAACAGGATAGGCTAATCATTAGTGATTTCAAAGGCTGAGTCTCAATGAAATGTAATTTAAAGGCGGGGTGACTCGAGACTGCTCTCATTATTTCTAATTATAATTTCATCTAAAATTAAAGCTGCACCTATTGGCTAGTGGAGAGGGCTGTGCCCTTTTGTATTCCACGGCGCAGGTCTACTTCAGTGTGAAAATTTGGTGTTCCTCTCAGCGTGGATTTTAGCGGTTTAAAGAGAAGTCAAAGCCGTCCTGTAATTTTTTACTTCGTCTGGGCCTCTTGAGACCATGAGTCACTTTAAGATCCGAGACTAGATTCAGTTGGGAAGTGCATGTTACAGTCTGAAGTGTTCTTTCCAAAGTTCTTGGGTGGACGCTCGGTTCCTGCTGCGTCTGTTACCAGGTGAGGCCTTAAGGCAGGGACGAGTCCAGGGCGCTCTGTCCTGTTGCGGCTGGGAGAGGACCAGCCTCAACTCTGTTCTGACGGGCGACACCTGCAGGCTCCATCTGTGAGAAACAGAATCACCGCGTAGGAAGCCTGCTGGCCCTGAGCCTTGGGCTTCTCACCTGCCTAACTCTGTTACAGTGACCACCTGAGGTACTTCGGTACAGCAGCGGGCGGACTGGCGTCCGCCGTTTACCCAAGGGTGTGGAAGGGTGCCGTTGGTCATCGAGGAAAGACAATCTGAAAAGTTAAGGTTCTCTCACTGTGGATCTCTGGGTTTTTAGGTAAAGTTTGCTCCACGGCTTCCTTTAACAAATTCGGGAAGAAAGGAACTTTTAAAATTTGCATTACCAGGCTCCTCCCCTTTGTGTAAAGTTGCTTTATTTGAAGGTGCTCACAGTTTACACAAGAAGGAGCAGGGTGAATTAGATAGACCTGCTGTCGCCTTTTGATCTAAATAGGTTATGTGCATTCTGTTTCCTTTTCAAGTTAGGATTCTCAAGTCGTTGATTTCGATTGGAAAGTGTCATGTAAAATAAAACGAATCCCGGGGTCAGGACGGCAGCATGTCTTGCTAGATGTTCGGCTCTGTAGATTTGTTGATGTCTTTTTATGGTTTAGTTTTTGTTGTCTGTTTTTTGAGGAGGAAATGCAGTGTTTGTCACTCCTTCATACCTAATATTTATTCTCTACCACCGCACAGTTTTACACGTTAGCAGGAGCAGGCCCAGATTACTGAAGGTTCTGCAGTTGAAGAAGTGACAATGTGGTAAGTGCTTATTTGCTTTTAGCAAACATTTATTAAACATATTCATTCCTGCAGTGTCTCCTGCAGAGTGGCTAAGAGACTCAGCTGTATGACAGAGACACTTGGTGCTATGAATTTACTCCCTATGAAATATAGTGAGGGAAAGATAAATTTATAAGAAACCCAGCTGATGTTTTCAGTTAAATGATTAAGAAAGTCATACTGTTAACTTGAGAATTTTATTAAAATGGTACACAGATTAAGAACTATGACCTGAGCCTAGTAACAGAGTCCTATAATCTCAGCACTCTGGGAGGCTGAGGCAGGAGGACTGCAAGTTCCAGTCCAGCCTGGACACTCCATGATTTAGTGGGACCCTGTCTCAAAAATGAAAAAAAAAAAAAATAAAAAAGGGCTAGGGATGTAGCTCAGTGCAAAGGTCTTGGTTCAATCCCTGATACTACAAGCAAGGCAAACCAAAACAACCAAGAAACTATGATGAAAATAATTAATGTGACTTTGATTTCTGCTTTCCGTTTAAAAGTTAAAATGGTGTAGACTTCAGCATGTTGACAGAAACCTAATGATTGAAACTTTTATTTATTTTCTACAACATAACACACATTGTGTGTGTGTGTGTGTGTGTGTGTGTGTGTGTGTATTTATGTTTTGAAACAAGGTCTTCCTATGTAGTCCAGACTGACCTTTAACTCCAGATCCTCCTGCCTCAGCTTCCTGAGTCCTGGAATTACAAGTGTGTGCCACAATACCTGGTGTTCTTTTTACTATGTTTAATTGGATTGTTCAGTAACTATTAATAAGTGTCACAAACATAGGTGCATATGATACTTTAATTACATTTTTAAAAACTTGTAGTTCACGTAGTTTATTGTGGCAGAATTTTATAGAGCTTTTCTCAGAAACCACATTTTAGAGTGGAGAGGAAACACCTTAGGACATCTTGAACGCCACAGTTGGTTAGCCTTGGCTTGGCTGAACAGTATTATGTTGAAATATTTGCTTCTTTTTGTGCAGAAAACAAAAATAAAAATAGGACCTTGAGATATTCTTACTGCTTTACTGAAATTAATTTTATATTTTTTCTCTTTCCCTAAGAGCTGAACTTTTACAATTTTACATGATATTCAGTGTACTTATAGGGAGAAAAACATTAGAGAAGATAAATAGCTTTTGTTTTAAAATTTATTTTTATTTTCTTTAAGTTTTTGCTGTAGTGGAGGTTAAACCCAGAGTCTTTGCACAGAGCTACATCCTTAGCCATTTAGAAATTTTTAAAATTTTGTGACAGAGTGGCATAAATTCACTCCTTTGCTGAGGCTGGGGTCACACTTGTGGTCCTCCCCCGTCCTCCTCCAGAGTTCTGGGATTACAGACCTGCATGGCCCTGTCTGGTTGAGAAAGAGCTTTTGAACCCTTAGACATCTCATAATCTGGTGTGTAGGTGGGCATATCTCCTTAAAGCTGGTGTGTTGGCAACTTAATACCCAAAGTCTTATGTTACTGGTATTTGTATTTTTAAAAAATTTCATTGCATTTTTATATTTTCATAGTGTGTGTTTGCCACATGTAATAGTTGCATTCATTTTGGGGCATTGGAGAGGGTGTAAGATATGTATCGATCATTTTTGATGCCTTTACCTCTCTCCCCACCTTTCCACCATCCCTTTCCCAGGCTCCAGAATGTTTGCCTTTTTTGTTTCCTACCATCTCTTCTTCGTTTTACTCTTTTATTTATTTGTAGTCTGGGTTTCTCACATGGGAGAATACATGGGTATTTAACTTTTGTGTCTGACTACTTCATGTAACCTGGGCATGGTGCTTGAAGAGAGACCTTGAGAGGGGATGGTCCTTGTGGGTGCCCTGTGCTGTGTTACAAGGCAGCGAGAAGACCCTCCCTCCCAGGTCACTGTCGGCCTGTTCTTGGACCTCCCAGACTCCAGAACCAACTGGGAGCTCAGTCAATAAAAGCGCATTCCTTATTTATCACTTGGGTAACTGCATTGGATAAATGTGAGAGTTATGTACTTCAAATGTCTGACACACTCGTGTTGAACTCTCATTTGCCACCTAAAATCACAAGTCTGCACTCATTTTTTTTTTAAACAGCCCTCGAAGGGATGTTAGCTATCTCAAAGAAGCCCCGAGAGGCTGCATGGCTTGGGTTTTACTCCCCAAAAGGACTCAGCTCAAGAGTGCCAGGCTCCATTGTATTCTCGGTTGAGCCCCTGGGTTCCAGCCCAGTACCTAGTAGATTAGTTTGCTCGGTAATTGTCGGATGAAGAATGAATTGGAGGGAAACGTGAGCTTTGGAAAATATTTACTGGGGGTATGTGAAGTTAAATGATTTGACCCTGAAAGTACCAGGGCTGACCACTCGCAAAATCTCTGGGCATTTTAAGCTGAAATAGTAACCTGAACTGGTACTGAATTATAAAAAGACACTGAAGAGTTGGGATCCTGAGAAATATTGAGGTGAAGTATGGAGGTCCCAGGATTTTGTGAAGTGCGTACCCTTCCCCGAGTGACATCCAGCCTTGAAATTTGAACTTTATAATTGACAAAATAGTTCTGGAAACCAAGTGGATAATTCATTGCTTTTATCTTTGTGTCATCTCTCAAGCACTGTGAGAGATTATGTAATATCTGAAGTGATTGTGAAGGTGTTGCTTTGTCCGAAGAGACCTGTTCTGGCTCGCTCGGCACACACCCATCCCAAGTCTAGTCCACAGTGACTCCTAGTTTTGTTTTGTTTTTTTGTGTATCAAGGATCAAACTCTGGACCTTGTGCTTGCAAGGCAGACGTGATGCCGCTGAGCCAAATCCCCGACCCCACGCAATTCCTAGTTTTGCCGTGTTGTCCCTGTAGCCGGGGTAGGAAGGAAATGTTGGACCGATTTCAAGCTTGCTTTTTGGCTGTGGTGTTCACGAGAGTGACGGCACCCTGTGCCGTTGGTCAGTGGAGCCAGGGTGAGTTCTGTGAATCAAATCAAAACAGTTCTACTGGGGAAAGGTCAGTGTATTTCCTCTTGCCGTAAAGTGAGTCTGTGACAATTGTTCTGTAAGTAAAGATCAGAGAGAGAATTCCCTGTTACCGGATTCCTCAGAATAGAACGATTGCCTTGTGTCTCATAAGTGAAATTTCTAAGTAAACAGTTGTTTTAAGTGCAAAATATAAAACAAAACAAAGTCACTTTTCTTTTTTTCCGAGACGGGCTCACTAAGTCGCAGAGTTGCTCAGGCTGGGCTCAAACTTGCAGTCCTCCCTTTTCTATCACCCAGAGCGCTGGAATTGCAGGTGTGTTCTTTGCCACCCTACTACAGATGGCTGCCTTTGATGGGGTCCTTTCACAGTTAAGTTATTTGCCCGAGTGAGACACCTGAATATGGTTTAATCTCACTGCCTTAGGCTCACAGATTTCAACTCACTGGGACTTTTATTTCTGCGCGTCACGTTTCCTGTCTCCTCACACCTGCTTTCTCTTCTTAGCGTCATTTTCTGGATCGGATTCCTTCTCAGCGTGCCCTGTGTTCAGGTAGAGGCATCAGCAGACATGCTTCTAGAATTAACTCTAAAATAAGAGGAAACTGGTTTCTGACTTGGAAGTGGGATGCTCCGCTTCATTCAGCTTTGGATTTGGTGGACCGGAGG